TCACTCACGACTGTTTGTGGGACACTGCTGTGTGCAATTGACTGCTGCGTTTCGCCCACAAAATATAGAGTACTATTCACTTTACAGTATATCCTGTGAAGCGCTTTGCGACGTCTCGAAGATGTGATAAGGCATTGTATCAACTGCAAGGTTTATTATGATTATTATTATTATTTAATTTGCAATTCCTGTATACGCCTGTTAGTGTGACACATCAACACGTATGGTAACAATAACACAGGATGTGGCTGCACAGGAACATATCCTTACCGCGATTAAAACACGCTTTTGTTCATGTGAGGAGGATTGTGAGCTCTGCCGGCTAATTGGGTTTCTAATACTTCGGTGGCCACAGCTTGCACTGGTCACGTGAACACTGCCACTCGGAGGCAATATTTCACATGGAATATTAAACCACTTGCTTTCCTGAAAACAGAAGCAAGCTCATCTTTAATGCTCTGCCTAGTCTGTGTACCTGCTGCAGGCTGTTATATCCCAAACTAATCAAATACACTTCAACTATTAGGCCACATATATGCCACATATTTCAATTCAGCATAATCATTATTCTGCACTTTGCACTAGCTAATCTGACTAATAGGATTTCAATTTGAATGAAAATGTTTTATCCTAAATAGCTCAGTTATTGGAGACCAGAACCTTCTGGTTCTCAATCAGCCCTCAACCTTTTCATAGTAATTCTGCCCGACTCTACACTCTTGAACTTTGCCTCGATAAACGGGACCTTTTCGAACAATTTTAAGGATTGCGCGTGATTATGTTTCAGTCTGAAGGGGACTGCAATTACAATCATTAAAACCTCTTTCCTTTCGGTAATTTTGTAATCAAGAGAACAATCCCAACCAAACTGTGTGGTGCAAACCCATCGCAGGAACCACTGAGGGAGCTGGAGAAACAGCAACTTAATCCAAAATATTGAAGCAGAATACGTTGAAAAATAGTAAAGTATTTTAATTCCCCTTCACTTGAGGTGCTGTAGGCAACAACAACAACATCAACAACTTGCACTTATATAGCGCTCTCCACGCAGGGTAGCATCACAGGGATTGAGGGAGATAGTTCCAGAGCTTTGGGACATAGTGGGTGTAAGTGCGGCCATCGATGGTGGAGCCAATCAACCAAGTTTCCCCGAAATACATTAGGTACAGGATCGTTATCTGAAGACATGAAAGCTCCCAAAATGTGATTTTAACACAAGGGTAATCTTCTTCCCTTATACTAGAAAAGAGACACCAAGAGAGTGACTGTTTATATTCAAAGACTGCATTAGCAAGTGATGTATAGCAGATGCCTATATTAAAGCTAACAAAGTTATGTCGGAATAGTATAAATAGTGTTCAGTAGATTTTACTAGTGGATGAAGAACGTGATCAGGTGCGATATCAAATGCAAGGATTATTATTATTATTACAATTAAGATACGTCGGTTTAATAATAATAATCCTTGCATTTGATACAGCGCTTTATTACTTTGTTCAGACATCTTGAAAGCGCTTCACAGGACTGTACTGTAAAGTGTAGTGACTCTGTATTTTGAGGGCGAAAAGTGGCAGCCTGAGAGAGAAACTCCCTTCTCTTTTTGAATAGCGCTGCAGTATCTTTAGCTCCACCTGAACAGGCAGATGGGACCTCGGTTTAATGTCTCATCTGAAGAATGGCATCACTGACATCTCCGCGCTCCCCCAGCAGTGCATTGGAGCATCAGCTTAGACTGTATGATTCCAAATGGAAAAGGCTACATCAAATGCAAGGATTATTATTATTATTATTATTATTATTACTATTATGATTTATTATGATATTATTATAATTTATTATTATATTACTATAATTATATTATTATTTTATTATTTATTATTATTATATTATGATTATTATTATTATTATTCCAAGTCCCCGATGGGGGCTTGAGTACATAATCGTGTGAAGTCCTGCTGAATAGTGGTTGGAGCACTCACCTCACAAGCGAGAGGACCTGGGTTTGATTCCCAGGCTCGGTTTTCCTTACTCCACACCCTCTGTTTACCCAGCAGTAAGTATATAATCCTTGCACATCTTCGAGACCGTCTCAAAGCGCTTCACAGGATATACTGTAAAGTGAATTGACTTTATATTTTGTGGATGAAACACGGCAGCCAATTGCGCACAGCAGCGTCCCCCAAACAGCGGTGGATTGAGTGACCAAATTATGTAAGAGAGCGAGAGAGAGAGAGAGAGAGAGAGCTCTAACTGTGGTCACTGCATATGTACCTCAGCCCTCGGGCAGAGTTAGTGATACTCAGCAGCTGCTGCACAATATGGTACAGGAGGAACCCGGCAAAAACTGCCAACGACCTCGGGCGGAGCTGACACTATCTCTGTAGGTACCTTACAATCAGCAGCAAGGCCTGAGCGAGGCTTTGTGTAGTGACGTGACGCGATTTATGCTTTTGTTGGTGGCTGTGGATTCATGGGAACAGCCAAGAAACTCTGGCGTGCAGTCAGGCTACAATCTATCACAGGCACAGTAGGCCACTTTACGCTTAAAATAAGGGATACACGGGCCAAGAGCGGGTCATTGGACTTGAGGTACAGATCAGCCATGATTTTATAGAATGACGGAACAGGCTCGAGGGGCTGATTAGCCTAGTCCTGTTTCTATGTTTCTACGTTTCAGCTTCCAAGGTTGGTAAATGCACCAACTGCTCGATTGGTCACTGCAACGTGCTTCAAAGGCTTCTCAAATCTCCTTGGCTCCAGAGTGCGCAACAAAGTCACGGTTTAATAAAATAATAACCCGTGCGTTTGATATACTCCTTATCACATTGAGACGTCTCAAAATGCTTCACAGAGGTGTGTATGTGTGTGTGTGCGTGTGTGTTGTCAGCACTATTTTGTAGGCAAACACAGCAGCCAATTTGTGCACACGATATCCCATGAACAGTTGCCAAGTAAACAACACATTTTTTTTAGAATAGTGCCGCGGGATTTTTAACGTTCAACCAAACGAGCAGACATCTTTGACATCTCATCTGAAGCACGGCACCTCTGACAATGCAATGCTCCCCCAGCACTGCCCTGGAGCGCCAGCCTAGACTGCGAGCTCAAAGCCTCAAGGTGGGGCTGTTACCCTCATCCTTCTGCCTCCGATGGGGCACAACATAAAGTCGTAGGAAGAGCAAGGTTTACACGATTGACCTCATCAAAGCCTGATGTGTTGTGTGTATGATGGGCTGTGCTATGTGTATGGTGGGCTGTGCTATGTGTATGGCGGGCTGTGTTGTGTGTACGGCGGGCTGTGTTGTGTGTACGGTGGGCTGTGTTGTGTGTATGGCGGGCTGTGTTGTGTGTACGGCGGGCTGTGTTGTGTGTACGGTGGGCTGTGTTGTGTGTATGGAGGGCTGTGTTGTGTGTACGGTGGGCTGTGTTGTGTGTATGGCGGGCTGTGTTGTGTGTACGGCGGGCTGTGTTGTGTGTACGGCGGGCTGTGTTGTGTGTACGGCGGGCTGTGTTGTGTGTACGGCGGGCTGTGTTGTGTGTATGGCGGGCTGTGTTGTGTGTACGGCGGGCTGTGTTGTGTGTACGGCGGGCTGTGTTGTGTGTACGGCGGGCTGTGTTGTGTGTACGGCGGGCTGTGTTGTGTGTACGGCGGGCTGTGTTGTGTGTACGGCGGGCTGTGTTGTGTGTATCGGCGGGCTGTGTTGTGTGTACGGCGGGCTGTGTTGTGTGTACGGCGGGCTGTGTTGTGTGTATGGCGGGCTGTGTTGTGTGTACGGCAGGCTGTGTTGTGTGTATGGTGGGCTGTGCTGTGTGTATGGCGGGCTGTGTTGTGTGTATGGTGGGCTGTGTTGTGTGTATTGTTGATCACTGACACAAACCTCGCAGTCAAAGAGCAAACACAGAATTGTGGACCTCAAACACGACTGGACGGTTGCTTTGTTCAGCCATGTAATATACTATTAACCCCTCGAACCCTTGACTGAATTGGATATCCTGTAAATCTACAAAGCTCACACTGTTTCCTCCAACAAAACACACAGTCACTACACGCAGAATCGTTAACATCCACCCGAACAGGCAGACGGGTCCTCGGTTTAATGTCCCACGCAAAGCATGCGCTCTCCCGAACACTGCATTGGAGTGTCAGCGTGGACTATGTGAGCTCACTAAGTCTCAGTGTGGGGCTTGAACCCACAACCGTCTGACTCAAAGGCAACAGTGCTACCAACTGAGCCAGCCTGTCCCGATAAACCTATATGAGATGCTAGTCTTATTTGATAATAACATCATGATTATAATAGTCACAATAATAATCCTTGCCATTTGATATAAAGTACCTTATCGCGTCCTGGAGATGTCTCAAAGCACTTCACAGAACACACTGTACTATACAGTACAATAAATGATAATAATACGATATAGCTGCAATCTCTCTGACGGATCGTTTGTGATGTTCTGTCTCCTTGAGGGCAGAAGGGGTTTACAGTAAGTGGCCGTATCGTTTTGCTGCTGAGTCTGGGCAGGCGGAGTGTGTGTCGGGGGTGGGTGGGTGGGTGGGTGGGTGTTCACTGTATGTTGAGGTAGAGCCTGGGTCTCACAGCACAGCACAGCACAGGGAGCGATGTCTGTGTGTGTGACTGTGTGTGTGAGTGCAATGACTGGATGTTGAGGCAGAGCTGGCATCTCACAGCAGAGGGGGCTGCTGAGGTGGTGGTGGTGGTGGGGAGGGGGGGTGAGGGGGTGGTGGTGATGGGGGGGCAGTGAGCATCCCAGGCATGTCACTCACTCGCAGGCTGTTTGGCTGTGATTGGTTGCAGCCCTTCCAGGAGCTGGTTGGCATTCTGTGCTGGATGCTGAAGGACATGGTGAAGAGTCCGGTCCACACTGCCTCAGTGCTGTGAGCGTGTGTGTGCGTGTGCGTAAGAGCGAGCGTGAGTGTGAGTGAGTGTGAGTGGCACTGCAGAGAGCGTTCTCACCTGGTGTGTGTGTGTGCAGCAAGCTCGAGGCTGTATATGGATAGGAGCTCTCTGCTTCAGCTCATACAGGAGCAGGTCAGTATGTTTCTCTCTCTTCTCTCTCTCTCTCTCTCTCTCTGATAATTCTCTCCTCCTTCTCGACTTCTCAGCTGCTATTTCCATCACAACGCCCGATCGCCATCCACACGCTCGTTAATAAAACATTCCTTGATTCATTGAAGCCCAACATCAGAGTGGGGATCCAGGAGCCTGAGCCGGTGATGAAGGATGGGAGAGGAATGCTCATCAAAAAGAGAGTGTCCAGGAGTGTTTAAGACAAGACAGGACAGCTTATTAAAGTGTTAATACTCTGGGGAGGGAGGGAGGGAGGAGACCCTAAACTAGAGATGAATAAAAGAAGCAAGATATTCAAATGAAGAGGACACGAGAGAAGTACTGTATAGGAGAAAGGGAAATAAATCACTTGATGGGGGGGGGGGGGGGGGGACAGTCAGGCAGAGTTGATGGATGCGACGCAGGAGAGCAAGGTGATGGGAAGGAAGAGGAGAGGTACCAGTGATGGGAGAGAATGCAGATCCTCACCGAGAGAGAGAGAGAGAAAGAGAGAGAGAGCACAGTGAAGGCAGCAACTAGGAGAATAACACACTCACTCACTCTCACTCACTCACTCACTCCCAGTCACATTTCATCTCCGCTCTGCCACTCACTTGTAATAGGGTCGCTGTGCGGATTGAGCACCGTGGGAATATTTTATACGGCACCTCCCGTTACCGTAAATCTACATCGTGTGATTCTATTATTTCTTTATTTTTTTTTGCCCTGATGTTGTCTCGCAGTCTTTTATTAGCTCAAACGCTAAGTTTGCATCGCTATCTGCAGCGAGAAGCCAGGATTAGCTCCCAAAACATAGCCAGCAGAGAGAGATGTGACCCACCATGTCGCATATCAAATGATTTGAAGCATCTTTTGGTTGCAGATTTCGAGTGTGTCAGAATTGTTGCTTCAGAAGGTTATTAATACAGACTCCCCTGTAAACCCGATTACCAGGCAGTGCAAATGTTTTGCTTGAATCCTGATTTCTGCTCTTTTCGAAATGATATTTGTAATATCTGTATCACAGCAACACATCACTGGATATTTTGATTATCTTACAGTACGTTGCTTAAAAGAGTTGCCAATGTGTGTGTGTGTGTGTGACTTTTAAGACATTCTCTGACCTGACGTTATTCAGCTTATCAAGCAGTAAAAATAGGTAGACAATTTGAAGAAGATTTGGGGCTGTGTTGAGGCTTACACGTTGACGTGTTATCAGAGGGTCAATGGAGTAGGAGTAAATGAGAAGTACCTGAGACCAAAGCAATGCAATTATAATGGAAATGATTGGGAGAATATTTGGTCTGTTGGGATTTTCTATATTAAAGCAGTGAATGGGAACAACATTGGGATGGTGGTGTGAATTGGAGTGAGTGGTGAATGATTTGATCCATTGACATGTTGCAGTGTGAGGATGACTCTTTATAATAGAAAATAAACAGCAAATGATCCCTTGCCTCGAAACTATTTAATGGGGGGAATAAATGATAGGTCGTTTGGTCCACTAGAATTCTGTGCAATACAGCAAACAGAGATGGGTTTGATGCACTGGGATTTGAATAATCGTGAGAAAATCTGGTTTTGTTACACAATAATTGGAGATTCAGAGTTCATTATTGCAGTATCCCTTCAAACTTGAGCTATTATGGCGAAAGGCTTATGCATGAAGCTGACCACATCTGCAGAATGTGCTACAGAGATGATTTACAACGTTTTGGTGCTCGAGCAGGAATTCATTATAGAGCAGAGACCCAGGTTGTTGTTCTAGAGTGGACATACATTGTGGTTCTAGATTAAAGACACATTGCCAAGCTCTCCTTGCATTCCTACACTACAGTATATTCCGTGAAGACTTTGAGACATCTCGAAGACGTGATAAGGCGCGATATCAAATGCAAGGAGAGCCTGACAGTGCGATTCTAGAGCAGAGACTCATTGTGGTTCTAGAGCAAATATCCATAAAAGTTCTAGAGCCGGCTATAAGGTGGGCCAGAAATGTTGAGTTACTGAGAAGTGCCGCTCGTGTACACGGTGTCTCAGTTTGGTTGCCTTTGCCCCTGGTTATTGATAATAAATCCTAGTGTCCCGTAGCTTAGTGGTTAGAGCACCCGCCTTGCAAGTGGGAGGACTTGGGTTTTGATACCTGGGAAGGACGAAACTTTGGGAATATTTCCTTACTCCACACGCCTCTGTTTACCTAGCAGTAAGTAGGAACCCAGTTTTTAAACAATTGACAGATTGCTTTCCGGAGGTAATAATTCCCCTCCAAATAAAAATGCGGTCACTCAATGCATGACTGTTTGTGGGACATTGCTGTGCGTAATTGACTGCCATGTTTCGCCCATAAAATATACAGTCAATTCACTTTACAGTATATTCTCAGCTCAGCCTATATACAGTCAGCTCAGCGGAAACTCTGTGTGGATTTATTTTTAGAAGATTCAGGTTGGGAATTGATGATTTATTGAAAAAGCCAACCAGTGAAGGACATTGGACGCGTAAATCACAACCATTGAATTACTGTATGCAAATAATCTGCCATCTTTCGTATACCATTTCACTCCAACACCACACACAGCTCCCCAACCACCTCCGCACACAACCCACACCCCACCCCCCCACCGGCGTGCATGCCCCCCCCCCCCCACCCCCCACTCCTTCCTGGCGCACATGACCAGGTACACAAGGGTCTGAATGCCGGGGTGCACTGAGTTAGACTCCGGCAGTTACCCCAACATACACTCTGGGGTCACCACATAGTACATAGTGTGTGGGGATGGGGTGGGGTGTGGAAGATTGGGGGGAAATCAGAAGGAGATTGAAATTATAAATGGGAGGAGGTTGTCCTTACTGAACATGCTCTGAACATATTGACTAAACATAAATAATCCTTGCATTTGTTATAGTGCCTTTAACGTTCGGAGGATATCCCAAGGCGCTTCACGGGATTTACGTTAAAGTGCGTGTTTTGTAGGGAAACGCGGCAACCCAATTGCACACAGCAACGTCTCACAAACAGCCATGGAGTGAGTGTCCAATTTAATTTGGGGGATTGTTGGCCAGGACACCAGGAGAGAGAGAGAGAAAAACTCCCTTCTCTTTTCAAATAGCACCGCGGGATCTTTAACATCCACCTGAACAGGCAGATGGGACCTCGGTTTAACATCTCATCCGAAGCTCGGCACCTCCAACAACACAGCACACCCCCAGCACTGCACTCGAGTATCAGCCAAGGCTGTGAACTTCCGACGTGGGGCTTGAACCCACGACCAGGCTGACAGCAATGATTGCTGACTAGACTTGAGCTAAACATGCTAACTGAATATTGAAACATGCTGTGAACATGCCCTGAACATTGTTGTGATCATGTGTATGTGTGTTACAGGACCCTGACCAGACTGGCTTTATCGGCCTGGAGCACGTGTGTGGCCTGCTCCACAGCCATGACTTACAGCTGGATCCTGGCAAGCTGGAGCTACTGCTGGCCTTGGTGCAGAGCAATGAGCAGGGCCAAGTCTGCTACTCCGAGCTGCTCACCCTGGTGAGTAAGGTGTCAGCACCAGCCTGCTAACCCCATATCAACTTGTCCACTCCTTCCCTCCGTCTGCTCCACCTCCCCTGCCCTGACCCAACCCACCATCGGTGGGTGGGCCTTCAGCTTCTCTGCCCCCACCCTTTGGAACTCCAGCCCACAGTCGCTTGATCTCACTCCCTCCTTTACCTCTTTCAAGACACCTTTACGAGACCTTCCTCTTCGACTGTGCCCTCGCCCACCCTCCTACCCTACCTTCCCTGCCTTCCACCCTTCCTGATCCCAACCCTCTACTCGGGTCCAAATCCTTGACTGTCCAGGGCCTTGGCATGTCCTCCTGACATGAAAGGCACTATACAAATGTAACAGTCATTGATTGTAGTCTGATATAGTGCCTTATCACATCTTCAAGACGTCTCAAAGGCCTTCACAAAGTATACTGTAAAGTGAATTTGCTGTACATTTTATGGGTGAAACATGGCAGCCAATTGTGCACAGCAGTGCCTACAGTCATGGACTGAGTGACCATATTATTAGTATTTATTGATTTATTTATTTTGAATGGATTATTACCCAAGGAAAAGTGATCCTCCAATCGACTAACATCTGGGTTCCTACTTACTTAATGGAAATGGCTAGGAGAAACAGAGGAAAAACAGGTCCTCTTTCTTGCGAGGCGAGTGCTCTAACCACTAAACTACAGGATCATTTTAAAGCTCGCAGTCCAGAAACACCAAGCTGATGCAGGAGTTAGCCTATAGTGATGAGCTACCATTCTCAAGTCAGCTTGCCAAGGAGGAATGAAGGCATAGGGTAGAGGCACGATAACATGCAATAAAAGCAGACTACGATGGAAGACTTCATTAGAATCCAGGGAGCAGCCAGCTTTGTGGCCTCTCGTCAGGAAAGACTGCATTTATGTGAGAGAGAAGGGTTTGAAGAAAAAGAATCAAAGTAAATTCGTCATTGATTTGCGGTCAATTGCAAACTTGAGAGGTTTATGAGTGACATGTCACTCTATGAGGATAAATAATGGGCCATTCCAAGCTAAAATCAATGTATTTTAAAGATTCAAGTTGATAAAATTGGCATTGCACAGCGTAGCTATTTGCCTTGATCATAGACTCCACGTGTGGCAGACTTTGGCTGATGTTGAGGGTCAGCTACAAGTTAAATCAGCAGTCAGCCAAACAACCCTGGCCTCTTTATTCAAGGAATGAACATTTTGCGTGATTTTTTAACTTCTCGTGTGGACTTTGAATAATGAAACCTAAGATCTGTTTTAAATTACCTTTATTTTAATAAGATTGCAAAGTATGGTTGTCGAACGTTCACCCAATGTCATTTTAAAGGTCACTATGTTCCATCCAATGTAATCGTGGTTCAGTAACCTGGTCGAAAACAACAAATTATATTTGTGCAGCACCTTTCACGTCAGTGGGATGTCCCAAGGCACTGGGCAGTCAGTCAGGGATCCGCACCTGAAAGTAGGTCACTTTTGTCCAGTCACTTGAGTGACCCGATTAGTGAGTTTCCACTGTATCAGTATCTGGTGCAGCGAGCTCACACCCAGTGACGATTAGCGGGCGTTTAAGCATATTGAGTGACAGAGGTCGGTGGAGTGGATGTTACACACGTGGCAGTCGGGCTCCTGTGCTGTTATTGTTTAGACACGTGTGGAGTGACGTTGTTGAATGTAGTATTTGGTGTCAGGCAGAGGGTCTGTTGAATGCAGCCTCTCAGTGTGACTGCGGTTCCCATCCCCAGCCCGACCCGTCACAGCACAGCCTGCCTGCCGCAGAATAGCTAATAGCTGTGTGACATGGCGCTGCAGGCCTCTGGCTGGTCAATGAGAATGGGAACGGCTTCAGCAGGGATGGGTGAGGGTAACTGTGACTCAGGCTGTAATAGTTCACCAACTGATGTGTCTCCTGTCAAATCCAATCATTAATTTTCCAGGGAATCAGAGCTACACACTATGCATAGCGTGGAACCTTTCCATTAGTCTTCTATACCAATAAAGACAAAATGTCCGTCCATGTGTCTGTCCACCAATAACTCAATATCCGATTGACGTAGAGACATGATTTATACCTCATCAGAAAGGTCTTGCAGGAGGAAGTGTCATTGGTATATGTTGAAGGAAGGGGAATCTCCTATACTTGATGACCTATGACCTAAACAAGTTTGTCACACATGTATGGTCATTTTGGTCAAGGTATGCACACAGTGTTTATGGCACGTTAGATGGTTTGTGATTTAGTATCACTGGAATCTACATTCCATATTGGATCCTTTGGTTGCAGGCGTAGCTGCAATGGGCACAGCTAGTTATATATAGCATTAAAATATACTAGACAGAGATCGAGTACTGTACCAGCACATGTTATTAGGTTGATCCAAGTTGGTGTCAGCATGAAATGGTCAGCGCTGACAGGTCTGTCATACAGAGAGAAGCTGTGATCCAATTTCAGGGAGTTGGACACGACAGGATGTTACAGGCAGAAAATATGCATCCCATGTTTAAGCCGGTCACGTCTCTGGGTAAGGAAACACTGTGCCGTGCTCTGAGGCATTACCCTGTGTGAAAGGCACTATATAAACACAAGTTGTCGGGCCGCCCCACCATCGGGCGTCAGGCCTTCAGCCTCACTGCCCCCACACTTTGAAACTCTATCTCCCAGTCCTTTCATATTGCTCCCTCCCTTGCCTCGTTCAAAGCACGTCTCAAGACCCTCCTCTTCGATCGAGCATTTGACAACCCTCCTACCCCTACCCTCCCAGGAGTGGGAGCCATGTAGAAACATGGAGAGAAATGAGTGCGAGGCAGCTATACAAAATTTACAGTCACCCACAAATACACCGTCAATTCACTTTACAGTATATTCTGTGAACCGCTTGGAGATGTCTCGAAGACATGATAAGCCGCTATATCAAATGCAAGGATTATTATTATTATAAATGAGGCAAACAGTAATTCCTCACCTGGAATACTGTTGACAACTCTGGTCACTGTGAAATAAGGGGCTGCCCAGGACCTAGAGACGGTGCAAAGAAGAGCAGTGAGGCTGATCCCCAGGGTTAGAGGAATGAGCTGTGAGCGACGATTAGACAAACTAGGGGTCTTCAGAGAGCATGACTCAGAGGGGACCTCAATGGAGAAGTGTCTACATCTTAAATGGGATTGAAAGTAAACCCTAAATTAATACTTTAGGATGCACCAAGATAGTAGAACAAGAGGTCACAAGCTTAGAGTTGTAAAGGGGGCAATTTCAGGACAGATACCAGGAAGTGTTTTTTACCCAGAGGTTAAGTAATGACTGGAACAGGGTTACCAGGAAGGGTGATTGAGGCCAGATCACTGGGACTCATTTAAAAAGCAGCTCAATGCTGTGATGGGGGGAGAGGTGAGGGCTGGCTCTGGATGAGTGAGATCAGATGGGCCGAATGGTCTTCTTCATCCAAACCAATCTTGCGATCAGTGAGTGTTCACTAAGGATATAAAGAGATGGAGAGAAATGTGGAGGACAATGCTGTAGGGATTCATAGAGTCCTGGTTTTTGGTTGAGGTGATTGGTCTGATTTGAGCTCAAGTGGATTCACCCATATTTTTGTGTGAGATTGTGCATCAGAGCCAATCCTGTAACTCACTGCCTCCCAAGCCTCCTCCTCAATCCATTAGGATCTCTTTTAATGTAACAATCACCAATTCCGAGAATCAGTCAGCAAGCACTGGGCTGGAGGAGGGAGAGGCGTGCCCTGATAATGGGCGTATAAGTCAGTTGAAAGGTCTGTGTTTGACAGCAACAAAACAAGCAGCAGTTATTTCCCCTTTGTAAGACACTGTGGATCGATTGAGTTGTACAGGGAAGCCTGGCCCAGCTCCCTGCAGCAAACAGAGGTCAGGGAAGAGTTTACAGCTGAGAGATGAAAGCCATGATTAGCAATGGGCAACTCTGGGTTAGTGTGAGAGCGACGATGCAAACGCACGCACGCACACACACACACACACTGTGCAATTTATTATCATTAAACATCTCATTAATATTTAACATCTGTCATTTGTGAAAGCCAGTAAAACTCAAATCACATTTATACAGCTTGGGAGCATTGATGAGCAGGTGTGTGTGTGTCACAGCAAACGTGCTCATTCTGCCCACAGCCCAGACATGATGGTGGCACAATTCTGCTATATGTTCCAGACCCTGTGTTGAGGTTACCACGCTGAAATTGGCATCAATTATTGCCAATAAACTGGTGAAGGAAAGTGGAGTGCTTGGGCCGAGCGATTGTCTCTGTGCTGTGTTCTGTCATGATCTTGTTGAGAATAGGTTACGCTGTCTAATGTTAGTGCAGTGACGGTGGTAACCATGGACTGGGTGTTTGTGACACTGTAAGTCCTCACGCTCGGATATCTAATGTCTCCCAGCCCTCAGCGCCGCTCACACTCTCTCTGGATAAAACATTTGGTACTGGGAACATGCGTCTGAGAAGCTATGTGTTCAGGAAGTCAGTGTGGGGAAACGTAGGGAATGGTAAACCTTGGTGATGAGTCAGGAAGTTTAAACATTAGCATTCCTATTCTCGGTCAATAGCTGCCAGGACACTGGACTCATTTAAAACCTAAGCTGGATGCTGTGATGGGGGGTGGGGGGTGGCGGGGTTGGGGGAGAGAGTTCTGGAGGATGAAATCGGATGGGGCTGAAGGGCCTTCTTCATCCAGACCGATCTTGTGATCTTGTGGGTCGGGGAGGCTGAAGGAAAGCTCCGATAGCGGAAAAGCTCTGATGGCTTTCAGAATGGAAGAATGGGCGAGGAAACTGCAAGGTTTATCGCGACAGTGTACCTCTATACAGGTCTAACTAACACGCCTTTATACAGCTGCTCTTTCTGGGTAGGATGTTTTAGATAAATCATTGCATGTAGCAATTGATAGACCTCCCAGGGTAAGAGAGGAGTCTTTATACCACATGTGGGCATCTTATCTCATTAACAGTAACTTGGCTGAG